TCTGGGCTATTTTGGTCTCAATGTTTCCTTCCTTCCCTCGTTATAAGGAAGGCACAGGCGGGCGCGGGCAAATCGAGCCTGGGCCTCTTGTGGTAAAAAGTTGACTAGAGTGGGATTTCAGCTCACTCCTTCGGAATATTAAACAGCCGAAGTCACCTGTAAAAAGTTGACTAGAGTGGGATTTCAACTCACTCCTTCGGAATATTAAACAGCCGAAGTCACCTGTAAAAAGTTGACTAGAGTGGGATTTCAACTCACTCCTTCGGAATATTAAACAGCCGAAGTCACCTGTAAAAAGTTGACTAGAGTGGGATTTCAACTCACTCCTTCGGAATATTAAACAGCCGAAGTCACCTGTAAAAAGTTGACTAGAGTGGGATTTCAACTCACTCCTTCGGAATATTAAACAGCCGAAGTCACCTGTAAAAAGTTGACTAGAGTGGGATTTCAACTCACTCCTTCGGAATATTAAACAGCCGAAGTCACCTGTAAAAAGTTGACTAGAGTGGGATTTCAACTCACTCCTTCGGAATATTAAACAGCCGAAGTCACCTGTAAAAAGTTGACTAGAGTGGGATTTCAACTCACTCCTTCGGAATATTAAACAGCCGAAGTCACCTGTAAAAAGTTGACTAGAGTGGGATTTCAACTCACTCCTTCGGAATATTAAACAGCCGAAGTCACCTGTAAAAAGTTGACTAGAGTGGGATTTCAACTCACTCCTTCGGAATATTAAACAGCCGAAGTCACCTGTAAAAAGTTGACTAGAGTGGGATTTCAACTCACTCCTTCGGAATATTAAACAGCCGAAGTCACCTGTAAAAAGTTGACTAGAGTGGGATTTCAACTCACTCCTTCGGAATATTAAACAGCCGAAGTCACCTGTAAAAAGTTGACTAGAGTGGGATTTCAACTCACACCTTCGGAATATTAAACAGCCGAAGTCACCTGTAAAAAGTTGACTAGAGTGGGATTTCAACTCACTCCTTCGGAATTCCTGTCCGTCATTGTATGGCCCGTCTCTGGCTATTGAGATATCGAACAGGGATTGAAGTGCCGGTGCACAAAATGTTTTCACGTGGATTTAAACGCTATCCCACTAATTTAAAGTACTATGAAATTGAAAACTAGGCCAGTGGGGCAAGATCGATTGCATTGAAACAATATAGAGTCCATTCTTCCCTAAGTAAAATTTAGTAACAATAGAACAATAGTGTAATACGTTTCTGGTCTTTATAGGAAGATTGATTGTTACCAACCTACGGGTTATATGGCACTCTCAAACCATGCATCGCGTCAACTTGTGTAAGTATATAAAACTTAGTTAAAATCATCCACGTACAATACTTGCGTAGATACAGTATACTTACTTATACATAGAATAATTGCAATGCCGTCTTCAGTCTTCACGCTATATACATGCATTGTTATTTCTTTGCAATTGTGCTTGGGAATAAGCTGTTTTTGAAGCGTTCTGTTCTACACTTGTATAATGATAAGTCATTTGAATTCCTGGTGTTGTATTGGTGAGCAGTTGCTTTGGTTCGCAGCACGTGTTCCTTTAGGGGGCCATGTTTAATAATTTTGCTCAGAGCTTTTATGCAGATTGTGTTTCGTCTATTATCTAATCTTTCGCAACCCGCCATCACCAATGCTTCGTCCTAGGAATGGCCAGGAAATATGATACGCATTACTCGTTTTTGCAGTCTTTCAGTTCATCAGAATGGTATTGGGGCAACGAATTACTCCAAACTTCGTAATTATATTCCAAAATCGAACGAATCAGGGCGGAATATATTTTAATGAGGTCAGCTGGTAGAATACCGCTCCGTTGCAAAATTCTGAGGATGTGCAAGCGATTGGAACCTTTCGCGATTATGGATCGAATATGTTCGTCCCATTTCAGATTATTTTGAAATTTGAATGGTTAGGTCTAATGCTTTGTGGGATTAAACTATTTCTAGTTCGCGTCCTGCGATTGTTAAGGCTTGGAGTTCGCCGGATCTTAAGGTAACATATTCTAAGTTCCTTGCATTTTATTGGGTTAAGAATCATCCAATTATTGGAACACCATGATTCGATGAGGTTGAGGGTTAGTTGAGTTACTGACGATATATTCCCAGTAAGGTGTTCGGACACCGTGCTATCATCTACAAACTTTCACATTTTTGTATCAGGTGAGCTTATCTTCAAGTCATTAACCATGACAAGGAATAAAATAGGGCCTAGTTTTGTCCCTTGGGGGACCCCAGTTGTCACGGGGAGCCAATTAGAAAGTGATCTACCAATCTTTACTCGTTGTCTTCGGTTCGTTAGAAAATTGATTATCCATGGAATAAGAGATCTTCTAACACCCAGGTCGATCAGTTTGTCAATAAGAATATTATAGCCGATTCGATCGAAGGCTTTCGAGAAGTCCAAGAAGCAGATGCGAATGTGTTTATTCTGTGAATCGAGGTGGGATAACCAAGTATGGAGCATGTCAAGGAGACAGTAAGTAGTCGATACTCCTTTTAGACATCCGAATTCACAAAGGTCAGTCCTTCCATTTAGGTCATACAACATCCATCTGACCACGAAGTTTTCCAAGACTTTGGATAGGCCTGGGATAAGGGATATAGGCCTAGTGTCGCTTTCGCTTTCTTGTTGATTGATCTTTGGGATTGGGATGACGTTTGCTTCATTCCAAATGTTTGGTACGACACTAGAAGAGAGTGATTTGTTAAAAGTGATGGCGATTGGTTCTGCTAGAATAAAAGCAAACTCTTTCAGAATTCTGCTTGGAATTTTGTCGGGACCTGTTGCTTTGTGGGTTTGAAGCGCACAGAGTTTGTTACAAACTTCATAGGGTTGAATAATAGGGATGTCGTTTCTTGAAGGTAGGAACGCCGGTAGGGAGTCTTTGTCGAAGGGTGGGATATCTGAATTTACGGAACCATTTTCGGGTGTCGCTAGACTTTAAGTGGTTGACTTTATTTCTGTAAACTGACTTTTTCTTTTCCGCTATTTCAAGTTGGTATTTATTTTTCAGTAATCGCCAAAGTGGGGTATTTTTACTGTGGAAGGCTTTCTGGCGGTCTTTTATATGGTTCTTGATTTCTGCTGTTATCCAAGCTTTGTCGGTAATATGTCGTTTCACTGTTCTAGGAGGGAAAATACGATCGATTGCCTGGGCCAGTTGTGATGTGAAGGAAGATGCTAGGTCGTCCACCGTAGCGTTAGGAGCTGCTTCCTCGAACCATTTATGCGTTGAGGCCCACCTTCCAAAGGCATCTATACTAGATTGAGGAAACCGACGCATCGTATACTTGATGACTTTAGGTTCAGTGCAATGGCTGGAATTATTTGAAGAGGGGGCCCATAGTACGATATTATGGTCTGATGATCCAAGTGGTGGTAGGAGTTGTGGGGTTTGATAATACTTGAATAAGTTGGTAATGATGAAGTCAAGGATTGAACCTCTAGTGGGGGCTTTGACGACTTGCTTTAAATTATGTCTTGCTGTCAGGAAAGATATTTCTAGGTCATTAAAGTCCCCAAGAAGGATGATACCACAGTTAGGGTATCGGTTGCACAGCAAATCAATGGTGGAAGATAGATATTCCTTTAGTGACTGATGATCGTCCTGGGGTAGGCCAGGTGGATGGCAAACAGCGCAAATTGCTATGCCACAAAGGGGTCTAGGTAAACGAGGGGGCGCAGCCAAAGCCACGAGCATTCGAAATTATCATTTTCGAGATCGGTTCGGCGGTTGGCATGGAAAAGTTCGGATACTAGATATATGCACACGCCACCCCCTCGGCGATTTGGGCGGTCCTTACGAAAAAGGTTATAACCATGGATTGAAGCAAGGCTATCATCGATGTCTTCATTAAACCATGTTTTGGTAACTCATTCATTCATTCATATGCGTCTTTATTAAAATATATCATAAATATTGGAGTTGCAACAAACGTGCAACTTTACAGTGCATATAAGATATAGTAATTAGATTATTTACAAATGTGTTAACGTTACAGTTAATATATACCGTATAACAGAATTTTAACAGTCATTAAAAATTGTTTAAAACGTTCAGTGCATATAAGATATAATAATTAGATTATTTACAAATGTGTTAACGTTATAGTTAATATATACCGTATAACAAAATTTTAAAAGTCATTGAAAAGACTTATTTAAAAATGTACCTTGAGGTACTCCTCTGTTGATGTTGACAAAATTGGTGCAGTTAAGGTGTAACATCTAAGGTAACAGTTCCATCTACAGCGGCATGTCGACTGCAGGGTTAGTAGAAAGTGATGCTGTTAACTCGTCTAACTTTGGTAAAAGTGATCGGGCGTTTATTAAAGAAATTTTCGGAAATATAGTTTTCTTGGTACGATCGCCGATAGCACGATTAGGTTTGGCAGCATTGATAATATTTACTTGAATGAGATTATTTAAATTGCGCTGAAAACGGCAATTTTTAGGGGGGTGGTGACTAGATAATATGACAGGGAGGTCTTGTATAGTAGGATTGGGCTGCGGATCGAAGGTAGGAGACGGGAAGAGGGAAAGTTTGTTCATTGGAGGGCTGGCAGTGTCGGGCGTAGTTTGTTGTTCCCCAGGAGGTGTCGTACTAGGTCAAGATGATTTGACCAGTCTTCCTCTCGGAAGTCCCAGGGCGGTGGTTCTGTTGTGATTTTCGCTGGCGCTTTAAAAAAGGGCGACTGTTTGTATTAAAATCTTTACCAGAGTAACGGCTTGGCTTGAACAATTGTTGAAATTCGGGTGTGGCATTATCGATTTGAATTTCCATTAAGGGTAGCCCAATCGATTTCAATTTTCTCAAGCCGTTCGTTTTTCAATTTGTTCATTTTAGCCATAGATACCTTATATTCACTAGATAGTGCATCTAATTATTCTGCAATTCAAAAATTGAAGCCGTGATTGCAGACTCAGGATATTCCCATGAAATGAGAAGATTCGTATATTTTCTATTTCTGAAACAGGGAACTTAAACATTAAGTTAAACCTATTCCAAATACATTGTTAAACTATTCAAATGATGAAAGTTATTGTTGTTTTTTAAGCGTTTACTAGCGTGTGGGAACTACCAACATGGCCGCCATCTATTCAAATGGGAGTAACCACTGGAATATTCTTGACTTCAATTTTACTAAAAGAGATGCGCTATCTAGTGTATATAAGATATCTGTGATTTTAGCCCGCAAAATACGCCACAACGCCCGCTAAACGTATTATAATATCAAATAACAGTGATATGTAGGAGATACAACTACCTGAAAAATACAAACAGAACTTCAACGTTTCGAGCAAAGGCCCTTCGCCAGGACGTTGATCCCGGATGAAACGAGGCTGAGAGTGCATGAGATGCGGTTGGCTGTTCTTAAAGCTTTCCCAACACTATTCAAAAGTCTTTTTTTTTCAATTCAAAAGTCTTTTTATTAGATCAAAAGATAAAAATACATATCTTATGTTACAAGTAAATATTAAGAATACATTAGTAAAGTTTACATCATATGAATAGGTTATAGTTAAAAATTAATCTATTTGCAAACGACAATTT